GAGCGGCTTAAGGAGCTGGGCATGTTTAGCATGAAGAAGAGAAGGCTGAGAGGAGATATGATAGCCATGTATAAATATGTGAGAGGAAGCCACAGGGAGGAGGGAGCAAGCTTGTTTTCTGCCCTGGAGACTAGGACACGGAACAATGGCTTCAAACTACAAGAAAGGAGATTCCATCTGAACATGAGGAAGAACTTCCTGACTGTGAGAGCCGTTCAGCAGTGGAACTCTCTGCCCCTGAGTGTGGTGGAGGGAGGCTCCTTCTTTGGAAGCTTTTAAACAGAGGCTGGATGGCCATCTGTCAGGGGTGCTTTGAATGCAATATTCCTGCTTCTTGGCAGGGGGTTGGACTGGATGGCCCATGAGGTCTCTTCCAACTCTTTGATTCTATGATTCTATGAAATATCTGATATGCAGGATGTGTTTTCATTCACTGGACTTAATTTGGCACAAATACTCGATACATCCAAATTTGAATACTGGTGAGCTTGGGGAGGATTGATTTTGTCATTTGGAAGTTGTAGTTGCTGTATAATCAAACCCCACGATATAACTGGGCCAAACATTCCACACAGAGCCTCCCTGCCTTGAAGGGACTCGCTGACATGAGCCTCCTCCCAGCCTCGCACACTCTCCCTCGCCCGCACATGAACACCACATGGCCAGCATGCCTGCTTTCCCCTCCTGGGAACTGGGAAGCCCTGGCCCTTGACCGCTCCAGCTGGAGGTCAGCTGTGACCAGCAGTGCTGCAGAATTCAAGGAGGCATGAGTGGAGGGTGAAAGAGAGAAACGTGCCAGGAGGAAGGTGCGTCAAGCGAACCCCGACCGGGACCGCCTTCCACCTGGAAACCAATGCCTTCACTGTGGGAGAAGATGCGGGTCAAGAATAGGGCTCCACAGCCACCTACAAACCCACAAAAATAGTCATCAAGGAAGACCATCTTACTTGTCCAATGAGGGATCGCCTAAGTAAGTAAGTAAGTCTCCCCTCCCCACTTGGAGTCTCAAAAACAGCCTTCCCCTTGGCTGTGGGGCTGGCCAATCACAGCAGAGGAGGCCCTTTGGTGGGAGGATTTGTCATTTGTTTCCAAAAAGGAAGAGATCTTCAGCCTTCTCTGCCAAAGGAGTTCCTAAGACCATCAGAAATATATGTTTTCTGATGGTCTTTTGTGACCCCTCTGAAACCCCCTGGCAACTTCCCAGGGGTCCCAACCCCCAGGTTGAGAAACACAGCCATAAAATGTAAACAACAAACAGATAAGACAACCAAGCTTTTGCATGCAAGCTGAATAATCTATATCTATATCTATATCTATATCTATCTATCTACCTACCTATCTATCTATCTATCTATCTATCTATCTATCTATCTATCTATAAACTAGCGGTCCCCTGCCACACGTTGCTGTGGCCCAGTCTGATGATCTGGAAAATAAAGTAATTAGAAAGTGCTGGTTTCTAATATATGTAATTTCTTTATGCTTCTGAGTAAACAGTATTTCTTTGAAAGGTTGATGTAGAAATTGTCTGGTTTGCCTCCTCTGGAACATGCAACATGTAATTGTCCATCTTTAGGAGTCCCTTTCAAATCTATAATACTTTATCTGTGTGTGTGTGAATCATATATATCTATCTATATCTATGCCTTGATGGCTCTCTGTCAGGAGGGCTTTGATTACGTTTTCTTAGCTTGGTGAAGGGAGTTGGACTGGATGGACTTAAGTATTTTCTGTTGGTCATGGGGGTTCTGTGTGGGAAGTTTGCCCCGATTCTGTCATTGGTGGGGTTCAGAATGTTCTTTGGTTGTAGGTGAACTATAAACCCCAGTAAGTTCAACTCCCAAATGTCAAGGTCTATTTCCATTAAACTCCATCTGTGTTCATATTTGGGCACATGGAATATTTGTGCCAAGTTTGGTCCAGATCCATCATTGTTTGAGTCCACAGTGGTCTCTGGATGTAGGTGAACTACAACTCCCAAACTCAAGGTCAATGCCCACGAAACACTGCTAATATTTTCTGTTGGTCATGGGAATCCTGTGTGCCAAGTCTGGTTCAATTCCATCGTTGGTGGAGTTCAGAATGTTCTTTGATTACAGGTGAACTATAAATCCCAGCAACTACAACTCCCAAATGACAAAATCATAATTTTTTGAGTGATGGTCACTCCTTATGTAGTGAGATGTTTTGTTGTCAAATTTGGTGTGATTCCGTTCATTGGTTCTTTTGTTTTTAAGGAACTAATTATGCACAGAGCATTTATATATATATAGATGCTCTGTGCATAAAGAGTACCTTAAAAACAAAAGAACCAATGAACGAAATCACTCCAAAATTGGTGAAAAAACATCTCACAACACAAGGAGTGACCATCACTAAAAAAAATATGATTTTGTCATTTGGGAGTTGTAATTGCTGAGATTTATAGTTCAACTACAATCAAAGAGCATTCTGAACTCCATCAATGATGGAATTGAACAAAACTTGGCACACAGAACTCCCATGACCAACAGAAAATACTAGCAGTGTTTGAGACAAAATACAAAATTTGTGATTTGGAAGTGTTTGGTGGGCATGGACCTTGAGTTTGGGAGTTGTAGTTCACCTACATCCAGAGAGCACTGTGGACTCAAACAATAATGGATCTGGACCAAACTTGGCACAAGCACTCGATATGCCCAAATATGAACACAAATGGAGTTTGGGGAAAATAGACCTTGACATTTGGGAGTTGTAGTCACTGGGATTCACAGTTTACCTACAATCAAAAGCATTCTGAACCCCATGAACGCCAGAATCGGGGCAAACGTCCCACACAGAACCCCCATGACCAACAGAAAATACTTAAGGCCATCCAATCCACCTCCCTTCACCAGGGCAAGAAAACATAATCAAAGTCCTCCTGACAAAGAGCCATCCAGCCATAGAGATAGATAGATAGATAGATAGATAGATAGATATGATTCACACACAGATATAGTATCAGATATAGTATTAGGAGATTAGAACTGCTCCCTCCCTCCTGACGTTCAGGAAGCTAACAAAGACTTAGCTATGGAATGCGGCCTTTGACAACTGAGTCAACTTTGGTCCACATGGAAGGAGAATGAATAACTGTGAATTATGACCAGGAATGCTTTGACGACGTGGCTATGTGATTGTGATGATGACGATGGTGTAATGTAATATGTTTTTAATTGCGTAATGATGATGCATTGTGTGGTTTGTATTTTTGTATATGAACACATGTTGTGAACCGGATCTGAGTCCCTCTTGTAGGTGAGATGATCGGTATAGAAAACTTTTAAATAAATAAATAAATAAATATCATAGATTTGAAAGGGACCCTTAAAGAAGGTCAATGATATCTTGCATGTTCCAGGGTGGGCAAACCAGACACTCTCCACATCAACACTGACAAAGAAACAGCAAGAAATACCATTTACCCACAAGCATAAAGAAACTACATATCATAGAAACCAACACTTTCTCATTACTTTATTTTCCAGATCACCAGGCTGGGCCACAGCAACACGTGGCAGGGGACAGCTAGTAGATTATAAAACTGAAGAGTAGACCTTATGTGTACCATTACAGCTGTGAGAATGATAAGGAATACAGAAAACCACAATTGTATTATCAATACAGGCCGATCTCTGAATTAGTACTTGGCATATTTGCTAGGAGTGACAAAACACAACCAAAGTAGTTGGGGAGGTATCGGGTAGCGTCTTTCCCCCAGATTGAGTGGCCCTCAGGGTCCCTTCCAACCCTAGTGTGAGGATGGTTGTGCTTTGTAGGAAAATGTTTGACCCAGAATCTGTCCCATGAAATTATTGACAGAGCATTTCGTTTGACATTTGGTCAACATGAGTTGACTAGGACAAAACCACAAGGCTAGGTTGCATAAATAACCATATACCCGTTGAGACAGATTATGTAAACAGCTATGACATTTGACATTTGGCTTACTGGATAGTTACATACACAATGTGAATTATGGATATTCACCTGATTTCATTATTAATATAAGTTGGAGGTCACTGCACATGTCTAAAGATTGGATTAATTAGTGAAATTCAATTGTTAATTCGCCTTCTGCGCATGCTTGTAAAATACTATAATTGGAAGTCCACCCCAACAGGGGATGTGGCAGTTCCTCACTCAGCATGGGCTGACACTGCCACCACTATTTTGAAAATAGTAAAGTGCTGAAATCCAAATCTGCTGTCCATCTCTTCCTTCGGCTGCGCCCACACAAACTTGGCAGGAATATTTCCCCAACACTAGGACCCTATGCTTTACTGCTCACCGGCCTCGCAGCGTTCGCAGGGGCTCCCCCAGGCGGCCCCCAGTGAGGCACAGCACTCGGACTTGAGGGTAGCCCCATTGATGTTCACCTCGCAGCGGCCCTCTTGGATGTGCAGCCAGCACGTGCCCTTCATGCTGTCTAAGGGGGAAACAAAGGGGGAAACAAGGAGGGGTCAGAAGGTACCCAGGAGTCTCCCGCCCCCTTCCCTTCCATTGGGAACGGTGTCCAAAGCATCTCCCAATGCGATGAGGTCCAAAGGCGAAGTCCGAGGTCCTTGTGAGACACTCACATACATACACAAAAGCACAATAGACCAATGCTTTGTGCTTACACACTATTATTATTATTATTATTATTATTATTATTATTATTATCTTTATTTATACCCCGCTAACATCTCCCGAAGGACTCGGTGCGGCTTACAAAGGCCAAGGCCCTCAATAAAACAACAGCATAACAAATACAATAATAAAACTCATAAAGCAAAGCAATAAACATTAAAGCAATAAACATTAGAACAATAACACCACGACGCATTTAAAACTAAGGCCGGGCCAAATGTAATGAATAAAATTTAAAAAGTGCTGGACATGACAGGTGAAATGTATAGGTTTTTAGAGGTAGGGTCCAAAACAGTCTGAAGAAACTGAAGGGATGCCTATATGCTGAATTTGTGGATTTCACCTCGGCTTTTGACACAATTGACAGACAGCGTACTCCAGAGGACAGGAGCAGGATTCAAAACGATCTTGACAGATTAGAGAGATGGGCCAAAACTAACAAAATGAAGTTCAACAGTGACAAATGCAAGATACTCCACTTTGGCAGGAAAAACGAAATGCAAAGATACAGAATGGGGATGCCTGGCTTGAGAGCAGTACGTGTGAAAAAGATCTTGGAGTCCTCGTGGACAACAAGTTAAACATGAGCCAACAATGTGATGTGGCGGCAAAAAAAGCCAATGGGATTTTGGCCTGCATCAATAGGAGCATAGTGTCTAGATCTAGGAAGTAATGCTACCCCTCTATTCTGCTTTGGTTAGACCACACTTGAATATTGTGTCCAATTCTGGGCACCACAATTCAAGAGAGATATTGACAAGCTGGAATGTGTCAAGAGGAGAGCGACTAAAATGATAAAAGGTCTGGAGAACAAGCCCTATGAGGAGCGGCTTAAGGAGCTGGGCATGTTTAGCCTGAAGAAGAGAAGGCTGAGAGGGGATATGATAGCCATGTATAAATATGTGAGAGGAAGCCACAGGGAGGAGGGAGCAAGCTTGTTTTCTGCTTCCCTGGAGACTAGGACGCAATGGAGCAATGGCTTCAAACTACAAGAGAGGAGATTCCATCTGAACATGAGGAAGAACTTCCTGACTGTGAGAGCCGTTCAGCAGTGGAACTCTCTGCCCCGGAGTGTGGTGGAGGCTCCTTCTTTGGAAGCTTTTAAACAGAGGCTGGATGGCCATCTGTCAGGGGTGATTTGAATGCAATATTCCTGCTTCTTGGCAGGGGATTGGACTGGATGGCCCATGAGGTCTCTTCCAACTCTTTGATTCTATGATTCTATGTGGGCAAAGTTGGCAAAGACCAATGTGGATGGACGACTGTTGTCATTATTACACCAGCTATATTCGGGGACAGATTTAAGAGTGCGGTTAGGTCTGTCAGGTAAACTCTCGGACAACATTGAATCAAGAAGAGGAGTCAGACAAGGTTGTTTGCTGGCACCTTTTCTATTCAATTTCTATGTGAACAATCTAGTTGCAGAACTGACCTCCCCCAATCACTTCCCACCATCAGGAGGTAATAGGAGAATTCAAACCTTATTATATGCTGATGATATGGTCCTCTTGTCAACTACACAAATAGGACTCAGGAGACTCTTGAGGACACTAAGTAGAATCTGTGATCAAGAGCATTAACTATTCGAAAACCAAAGTGATGGTATTCTCCAAGAGGAAGCAAATTACATAAATGGCAACTGGATGGCCACTCAATAGAACAGTGTCACAGCTTTAAATATCTGGCCATCCACTTCTCATACAATGGTAACTGGAAAAGTCATATAGAGGCAACCAAACTATCAAACTTTCAACATCTTCAAAAATGGCCAGCCACTGCCAGAAGGGACAGAGAGTTTTATCTATGCTGATGATCGTGTTGCTGCAAGAAGGTCCTCCATTGTGCATGTGGCAGGGCTCAGGTTGCATTGCAGCAGGTGGTCAGTGGTTTGCTCTTCTCCGCACTCGCATGCCGTGGATTCCACCCTGTAGCCCCATTTCTTAAGACTGGCTCTGCATCTTGTGGTGCCAGAGCATAGTCTGTTCAGCGCCTTCCAAGTCGCCCAGTCTTCTGTGTGCCCAGGGGGGAGTCTCTCATCTGGTATCACCCATGGATTTAGGTGCTGGGTTTGGGCCTGCCACTTTTGGACTCTCGCTTGCTGGGGTGTTCCAGCGAGTGTCTCTGTAGATCTAGAAAACTATGTCTTGATTTAAGTCGTTGACGTGCTGGCTGATACCCAAACAGGGGATGAGCTGGAGATGTCTCTGCCTTGGTCCTTCACTATTGGCTGCTACTTCCCGGCGGATGTCAGGTGGTGCAATACCGGCTAAGCAGTGTAATTTCTCCAGTGGTGTAGGGCGCAGAAACCCTGTGATAATGCGGCATGTCTCATTAAGAGCCACATCCACTGTTTTAGTGTGGTGAGATGTGTTCCACACTGGGCATGCGTACTCAGCAGCAGAGTAGCATAGCGCAAGGGCAGATGTCTTCACTGTGTCTGGTTGTGATCCCCAGGTTGTGCCAGTCAGCTTTCGTATGATATTGTTTCTAGCACCCACTTTTTGCTTGATGTTCAGGCAGTGCTTCTTGTAGGTCAGAGCATGGTCCAGAGTGACTCCCAGGTATTTGGGTGTGCTGCAATGCTCCAGTGGGATTCCTTCCCAGGTAATCCTCAGAGCTCGGGATGCTTGTCTGTTCTTAAGGTGAAAGGCGCATGTCTGTGTTTTAGATGGATTAGGGATCAGCTGGTTTTCCCTGTAATAGGCAGTAAGAGCACCTAGAGCTTCGGAGAGCTTCTGTTCAACCATCTCAAAGCTCCCTGCTTGAGCAGTAATGGCACGATCATCAGCATAGATGAAACTCTCTGTCCCTTCTGGCAGTGGCTGGTCATTTGTGTAGATGTTGAACATGGATGGAGCAAGCACGCTCCCCTGAGGCAGGCCGTTCTTCTGTTTCTGCCATCTGCTTCTCTGGCCCTGGAACTCAACAAAAAAGCTCCTGTTTTATAGCAGGTTTCCTATGAGGTGGGTGAGGTGGTAGTTCTTTGTGATATTATACATTTTTCTCAGGAGGAGGCGGTGGTTCACAGTATCATAGGCTGCTGACAAGTCTATGAAGACAGCTCCTGTGATCTGCTGCCTTTCAAAGCCATCTTTGAAAGGAAACAGATCTGTGACTTGTTGGCAGTTTATTCCAAAGATATAACATTGAAGGTTGCCACATTTGGAGTCGCAGCCCAAAAAATCCGAGCCAAACTAGTAAAGTCCACAGCAGAAGCTAGAAATGGAAATTAAGATATTTTGGGGATGATACAAACCAGACATTTGTAATTGTTATTATGTCACTACTATAATTTTAAAGAGATAGTATACGGAACTTGTTTTAATACTTGTATTGTTGTTGTTCATTCGTTCAGTCGTCTCCGACTCTTCGTGACCTCATGGACCAGCCCACGCCAGAGCTCCCTGTCGGCCGTTACCACCCCCAGCTCCCTCAAGGTCAGTCCAGTCACTTCAAGGATGCCATCCATCCATCTTGCCCTTGGTCGGCCCCTCTTCCTTTTGCCTTCCACTTTCCCCAGCATAATACTTGTATTAGAAAGTGCTTATTGTACTTTTAAAGGTTGTATATTTTATGTTATGGCCTATGGCTAGTACAATAAACAATTCATTCATTCACACATACATACAAGCACATGCTTACCGACGCAGAGGGTGCCACCGAGGTCCAGCTTGCTTCCCGGGGAGCATTCGCAGGCAAAGGACCCAGCGTTGTTTCGGCACACGCCGTTAACACACGGGTTGGAGCTGCACTCGTTGATGTCTGCAAACGCAAACAGAGCACAAAAAACAAGGGCGGGAGATAGGCAGTGGGATGTCACCTCTCTGGTTCCATAATACCAGTCATAACAATAAGATATTTTATGTCTGACTCCAACCCTCATACTGGCTTGGTCCAAAACATACTAACATAAAATGTGTACAATAAAACACATAGGTCAAAACACACAATGATAATAAAATAAAATAATAAAAAATAAATAGATAATAAATATTAATAATAAATAAAATCAACAATAAATAAAGAAAACACAGCATTGTAATGAAAGAAGTCATAATAATAAAAAATATAATACATTTATTTTAATAAATATAACAATAAATAAAGAAATATAATAATAAGTAAAATGCAGCATGATCATGAAATAAATAGAAATAGGAAATAAGTGTATTATAATGAATAAATAATATAATAAATATTGGGTTGTTGTAGGTTTTTTCAGGCTATATGGCCATGTTCTAGAGCAGTTGTTCTCAACCTTCCTAATGCCATGACCCCTTAGTACAGGTCCTCATGTTGTGGTGACCCCCAACCATAATATTATTTTCGTTGCTACTTCACAACTGTAATTTTGCTACTGTTATGAATGGTAATCTAAATATCTGATATGCAGGATGTATTTACAGTCACTGGACCAAATTTGGCACAAATACCCAATACTCCCAAATTTGAATACTGGTGAGGTTGGGGGTGATTGATTTGGCCATTTGGTAATGCTGGAGTTGCTGGGATTTATAGTTCACCTAAAATCAAAGAGCCTTCTGAACTCCACCAATGATGGAACTGAATTAAACTGGGCACACAGAATTCCCATGGCCAAGAGAACATACTGAGAAGGTCTGGTGGACATTGACCTTGAGTTTTTTGGAGTTGTAGTTCACCTACATCCAGAGAACACTGTGGACTCAAGCAATGATGGATCTGGATCAAACTTGGCACAAATACTCAATATGCCCAAATGTGAATACTGGTAGAGTTTGGAGAAAATAGACCTTGCCATTTGGGAGTTGTAATTGTTGGGATTTATAGTTCACCCACAATGAAATAGCATTCTGAACCCCACCGATAGAATTGGACCAAACTTTCCACACAAAACCCCCATGACCAACAGAAAATACTATGTTTTCTGATGGTCTTTGGTGACCCCTCTGACACCCCCTTACGACCCCTTTGGGGGTCCTGACCCCCAGGTTGAGAAACACTGATTTAGACAGAGAATGGCATTGGACATACAGACATACAGACTCTATGCAACTCAGGAGAGAATGCCTCTAGAACATGGCCTATATAGCCCGAAAAAAACTACAACAACCAGTGATTCTGGCCATAAAGCGTATATACATATAATAAATATTATAATTAATAAATATTATAATATTACAATAAAATTAATAAACAAAAACGCAGCATGATAACAAAATAAATAAAAATAATAAATAGATAATACATTTAATATAAAATTAAATATAGTAATAAAAAATTATAATAGCAAAACTAAAATAACAAACAAATAAAAATGCAGTGTTGTAATAAAATAAATAAAAATAACAATAAATTTATAATAAATAAATAAATAATGAAATACAAAACAAATCAATAATAAATTTATTATTAAAAATCAATAAAAAAACAAACATAAACCATCAGCCTACAGCGACAATAGGATGCAGTGCAAAATGCATGATGTGAAGTTGGAGGGGTAGGTAAACCATTTTAACCCAAGGAGAGGCGGGTCATGCATTTATGTCAGGCATGGGCCAACTTTGGCCCTCCAAGTGTTTTGGACTTCAACTCCCACAATTCCTAACAGCTGGTAGGCTGTTAGGAATTGTGGAAGTTGAAGTCCAAAACACCTGGGGGGGCGAAGTTTGCCCATGCCTGATTTATATTATGATTATGAATATAATATTCTCAATTGCCTTCGCAGGTGTCAGTCTCTGTCCGAAAGATGAAGCCCTTGGGGCAACTGCAGCTGTAACTTCCAGGTGTGTTGCGGCACAAGCCGTTGTCACATAGCAGCCGGTTGACAGCGCACTCATCCACATCTGCAGGAGGGAGAGGCAGGCAGGCCATTGGGAAAAGCCTTGAGGAGCATTTGGAAGCCCTCTGGGGTCCCCCTCACCCCTCCCTCCCTCACTCACCCACACAGTCCTTCCCGGAGGGGTCCGACTCGTATCCCAGGTTGCAGATGCAGCGGTAGCTACCCCTCAGGTTCTCACAGACCCCGTTGAGGCAGATGTCGGGGTTCAAGGCGCACTCGTTGATATCTGCAAGGGGAGGGAGGGAGGAAGTACAGGGAAACCCAGGGAGAGGAAGGAAGGGAGGAAGGAAGAAAGAAGGGAAGGGAGGGAGGACAGGACAGGGAAAGGGAGGGAAAGGAGGAAGAGAAGAAAGGAAGAAAAAAGGAAGGGAGGGAAGGAAGGAAGGCAGGCACGGAGGAAGGACAGGGAAACACAGGGAGAGGGTGGAAGGAAGGAAGGGGAAAGAAAGAGGAAGGAGGAAGGGAAGGAGGGAGGAAGAAGAAGGAAGGGAAGGATAGGGAAACACAGGGAGAGGGAGGAAGGATAAACAAAGGAGACGGAGAAGGAAAGGAAAGAAAGGAAAAAGGAGAGGAAAGAAGGAGGGAGGGAGGGGAGGGAGGGAGGACAGAACAGGGAAGGAGAGGGAAGGGAGGAAGAAGAAAGGAAGAGGAAAAAAGGAGGGAGGGAAGGAAGGCAGGGAGGAAGAAGGGCCAGGGAGAGGAAGGAAGGAAGGAAGGAAGGAAGGAAGAAAGGAAGAAAAAAGGAAGGGAGGGAAGGAAGGAAGGCAGGGAGGAAGAAGAAGGAAGGGAAGGACAGGGAAACACAGGGAGAGGGAGGAAGGAAAAAGAAGGGAGAAGGATACGGAGAAGGAAAGGAAACAAAGGAAAAAGGAGAGGAAAAAAGGAAGGAGGGAGGGCAAAAGAGAAAAGGAAGGGACAGAGGAAAATATGTAAATAGGAGAAGGAAGCGAAGGAGGGAGGGAGAAAGGAGGGAAGGAAGGATGGAAGGAAGGAGAAGGAAGGGAAAGGGAGAGGAAGAGGGAGGAAGGAAGAGGAGGGCAAGCAAGGGAGGGGAGGGAGGGGGGAAAGGAAGGAAAGAAAGAAAAGAGAGGGGAAAGGAGGGAAGGCGAAGGAAGGAAGGGAAAAAGGGAAGGAACAAAGGGAGGAAAAGAGAAGGAAAGGATGGAGGAAAATATGGAAATAGGGGAAGAAAAGGAGGGAGGGAGAGGGGGGAGGAAGGACAGATGGACAGGGAAACAGAGAAAGGAAGGGAAGAAAGAAGGAAAGGAAGGGAAGGAAAATGAAGAAAAGGAAAGCCTGTGTTTTCTGCTGCTTACACCTGGCAACCAATGGCACCAATTGACCAGTTGAAAACCATTTGCAAAAGGGTGCCTGGATGCAAATTCGGGCCATTTCTTGCGGACGTACCTCTCCCGTCTGCAGTGATGCCGATCCCACTGCTGCACAAGGCCTGGAACTCGGCTGCAAGGAAGCAGAGCAGAGGAAAGGCAGGGTTTCCGCACCAAGTGTGTCAACTGGGAAACAGGTATGGGGCCTCTGAGCATGTGCAGAAGCCCCCCCCCCCAGAATACCTATTATATTCATCTCAAGCATATGCATCTACCTACTTAGCTCAATTATAACGTTCCTGTCTATGGATGGATGGCCATCAGTTGGGAGGGCTTTGATGGTGCCCTTCCTGGCAGAAAGGGGCTGGACTGGGCTTCCCTTCCAAACTCTATGAGATATATACAGTGTTCCCTTGCTACTTTGTTGCTGACTTATTGCGGACTCACTGTTTTGCGGGTAGCGAGGAAACACTGTATAGAGGGAACACTATACTGCTCACCTCTCCTCCTTCTCGCCGCCTCCGCTGCTCCCCACTCCTTCCTCGCCAGGCTGGGCGCCAGGCAGGGCACTCTTTGGAGGCAGCCTCCTCACTGCCTCTGCCGCTCTCTGCCTTGGAGGCCCCTTAGGTGCCCAGCCTGGCGGGGAAGGGACCTCCGAGGTGGGGAGCAGCGGAGGCAGCGAGGAGGAGGCCGCCGACGGAGAGGGTCTCAGCAGCGGCTTTCACTGCTCGTTCCTTCCTTGCCAGGCTGAGTGCCCAAGGGGCCTCCGAGGCGGGGAGCAGCTGAGGTGGTAAGGAGGTGGAGGCAGCCGGGAAGAAGGGACACTCCGCCCATTTGAGTGGGTGGAGCATCCCTACGTTGTGGATTTTCACTTATCGTGGGTGGTCCTGTAACAGAACACCCTCAATAAGCGAGGGAACACTGTGTTAGGTTTTACTATGTATTGAGTCATGCACTGCTAATGAGCTAATGGGCTTCTGTTGGGAATGCTGAGAATGTATTGATTGTATGTGGGGAATCATTTGGGAAATGTGTTTTTGCCTACTCAGAGTGATTGTCAATGACGCAATCCTGGGTTTGGGTTGGGTCAATTAGTTGGTAACCAATCAAGGATTACTATGTGTAAATGTATTGTAAATGTATTGTATATAAGGAAACCATGTACAATGTATATTCCCCCCTTGATGTTGTGCTGTTATGATGGTATTCGTCAAAGACTATAAAAGAACCTGTCTACTTGGACAAGACACTGCGAACTGTGGTGAGTCTGTAATATCATCTAAACTGGGGGAAAGACAATGGTAAAAACTGATAATGGCCGGGCATGTGCTCAAGTGTCTACTGTGGAAGCAGAAGACTGAAAAATGCTGAGCAGGAGGAAAGCTGCTGGAACACGCTGAGGCTGTGCAAGTGTGAAGTTAACTCTTATCATAACACACTGTATATCAATCCTATCTATATATGGCTGGATGGCCATCTGTCAGGAGGGTTTTCATGATGTCCTGTCCTAGATGGTCCTCTTTGGGGTTCCCTTCCAAACTCTACTCACCGGAATACAAAAAAAGTTTTATTATTATAATATATATACACACACACACACACACACACACACACACACAATATATGTGTGTGTGCGTGTGTGTGTATAGAGCCTATGGCTGGATGGCCATCTGCCAGGAAGGCTTTGGTGGTGTCCTGACCAGGATGGCTTTCTTTGTGGTCCCCCTAGGGTTCTATGGTTCTGTAACAGGCATATATATATATATCTTCTCATCTATCTATCTATCTATCTATCTATCTATCTATCTATCTATCTGTCTATCTAAATCATGTATATGGCTGGATGGCCATCTGCTGGGAGGGTTTTGGTGGTGCCCTATCCTGGACAGCCCTCCTTGGGGTCCCCTTCCAAACTTGACCATATATATATATCCTAACCCATCCCATGCTATCATAATCTCAGCCTTGGTGGGCCTGCCCAGCCTGGCCTCCCCTCTCTGGGTCTCACCGGAATTCCGGGCAGGGCAGGGGTGGCAGGGCTCCCCGAAGCCATGCTCGTGGCTGGCGCAGCAGCACTCGGACTTGGTGACGGCGCCAGGGAAGGGCCGTGCGCAGGTCCCCTCCTTGAGGGCCCCGTAGCAGGTGCTGCGCACATGGGTGTCGACGCAGATGCGGCCCCCGGGCCCGATGGCCAGCCCCCCCAGGCACTCGCAGCGGAAGGAGCCCTCTGTGTTCAGGCACCAGCCGTTCATGCACATCCCGGGTGTCTCGCACTCGTCCACGTCTGCAGCACCGGGACAACAGGGCAGGAGGACATTAGCATCATGATTGCATAATCAACATTTTAAAAAAATTCGTATTGATACATTGCATAACTTTGTATAAAACTGATAAAAATAGAAAGAGCGCAGGCAGCTAAATATCTTTTAACCAAAAATGGCCAACAGCAATGGCATTGTCTGTAGCCTCCAACAATTCTCCCTCTGTACATGAGGCAGGGCATAGTGGACAAGCATACAGATGCGGAGTTGTCTGTTCTGCTCCACAGTCACATAAGGTGTGGGATTCTTTTAGGTAGTGCCATTTTGCCAGGTTGTCTTTTGATCTGCCCACTCCACTTCTGAGTCTGTTCAGGGACTTCCAAGTTGCCCATTCTTGGTTTGCCCCTGAAGGAAGATCCTTGTGAGGGGGCATCCAGTTGGGATTTCCTGGTCTAGCTGGCCAGAGGGATACCCTTGCTGTTACTGGAGAGATGCTGGAGAGGAGTGGTGGTTCTCATGAAGCTTTTCCTTGATGTGAGTCTACTGGGGGGAGGCTGGTAGCCATGCAGTGGGTGGCTTTCACAGTGTTCAACCTTATTTCTCTCACATTTAGCAGCAACTTCCCTTCGCACATCGGGGGGGGGGGGGGCAATGACAGCTAGCTTATAGAGTTTAGCAGGTGTAGGTTTAAGACACCCTGTAATTATTCTGCAGGTTTCATTTAGGAGAGTCTGGATAGTTTTTGTAAAATCATAGTCTTGGGTAATATGGTACACTTTCTGCAGCATTTTCCTATGTTGCCTCATCATTATAATCATCATCATCATCATCATCGTATTGTCGAAGGCTTTCATTGCCGGAATCACTGGGTTGTAGGTTTTTTCGGGCTATATGGCCATGTTCTAGAGGCATTCTAATCTCCTCTCAACAAAAGATTGAACCAGGTACTGCCAGGCCATCAAATGCTAATCAAGGTGGTCAGTTGAAACATTCACACCTAGCTCCAACAGACAAGAGTCCTTTGTCCCACCCTGGTCATTCCACAGATATATAAACCCTTTCCTAGTTCCAACAGACCTCACTACCTCTGAGGATGCTTGCCATAGATGCAGGCGAAACGTCAGGAGAGAATGCCTCTAGAACAAAGCCATTTAGCCCGAAAAAACCTACAACAACCCATCATCATCACCATCGTCATTATGTTTATACTATATTATTATACATTATCATCATCATACAGGATTATCAGGCCTGCCTTGGGACTGACTCACTTCCTGTCCTGAGACCTGGTTCACTTCCTGTCCTAAGACCCAGCTCATTTCCTGACCCTGGACTCGCCTCACTTCCTGTCCCAGAACTTGCATCACTTCCTATCCTGGGCCTTGGATCACTTCCTGACCCTGGACTCACCTCACTTCCTGTCCCAGAACCTGCATCACTTCCTGTTCCAGGACCTGGCACATTTCCTTTTCCAGGACCCACCTCACTTTCTGTTCCTAGACCGGCTAACTTCCTGTCCGAGGACTTGCATCACTTCCTGTTTTGGGCCCCACCTCACTTTCTGTTCCTGAACCGTCTAACTTCCTGTTCTGGGACTTGCATCACTTCCTCTCCCGGAACCCGCATTACTTCCTGTTCCAGGACTTGCATCATTTCCTGACCCAGAACTGGCTCTTTTCCTGTCCCAGAACCGGCCTCACTTCCTGTCCTAGGACTTGCATCGCTTATTGTTGTAGAACTCGCATTCCTTCCTGTACTGTGATTGGTTCCCTTACTCTCCCAGAACCCACATCACTTCCTGTCCCGGGACTTGGCTCACTTCCTCACCCACGCAGTAGCGCCCGTTGGGGGCCAAGACGAATCCCAGCTTGCAGATGCACTTGAAGCTGCCGTCTTCATTGATGCACATCCCATTGAGGCACATGTTGGTGGTGGCACACTCATCGTGGTCTGCCAAGAGAGAAACACGCGGGGCTTGCAGGGTCACGAGATGTGACTGTGCTGCAGCCCGTGGCCCCCCCCCCCCCCCACTCCTCCTTACCAGCACAGTTCTTCCCGTCGGGAGTGACCTCAAAGCCAGCGTTGCAGATGCACTGGAAGCTGCCATCCGTGTTAACACAGCGCCCATTGCGACACATGACCCCGTTCATGATGCACTCGTCCATGTCTGGCCAGAAGGGAGGAAGCAAGGAAAGGGTGAAGGAAGCATGCAAGCAATGAAGGAAATAGGAAAGGAAGGGAAGGAGGACTCAAAGAAAGAAGGGAGAAGGAAAGGAGGGAGGGAGGTTTGAAGGAAGGAGGGAAGAAGGAAGCAAAGGGTTAAAGAAGGAAGGAATGAATCAAAGAAGGAAAGGGAGAGGAAAGGAAGGAAATGGAAGGGAGAGAGGAAGCAAAAAAGGAAGGTGAGAAGGCACGGAAAGGGTAAAGGAAGGAAAGAAAGAAAGAGAGCAAGGAAAGAAGGAAGAAAACTGAAGGGAGGGAGGAAGCAACAAAGGAAGGAAAGAGGGAAGGGAAGGGAAGGGAAGGAGGGAGGGAAATAGCAAGCCATGCTGAGCACTGACCGATGCAGGCCTGCTTGGTGGGGGTGCTCTGGAAGCCCTCGTGGCACTTGCAGTGGTAGGAGCCTGGTGTGTTCACACAGTCGCCGTGCAGGCAGGGGCTGCTGGAGCACTCATCCATGTCTGTGAGCAATAACAATAACAACAACAATACTACAGACTGATAGAGAATAAGTCAGACTTGGCCACAGTAGTCCATGCTCTGGTTACATCCCGAATAGACTACTGCAATGCACTCTTTGTGGGGCTGCCTATAAAGACTGTTTGGAAGCTACAAATGATCCAACGGGTGGCAGCCACGTTGCTCACGGGAGTGGTGTAGAGGGAGCATACAACTCCTCATTACGCCAGCTCCACTGGCTGCCAGTCTGCTACCGAGTATAATTCCAAGTGCTGGATTTAGCCTATACAGCTCTAAATGTTCAACAGTGACAAATGCAAGATACTCCACTTTGGCAGGAAAAATGAAATGCAAAGATACAAAATGGGAGACGCCTGGCTCGAGAGCAGTACGTGTGAAAAAGATCTTGGAGTCCTCGTGGACAACAAGTTAAACATGAGCCAACAATGTCATGTGGCGGCAAAAAAAGCCAATGGGATTTTGGCCTGCATCAATAGGAGCATAGTGTCTAGATCTAGGGAAGTAATGCTACCCCTCTATTCTGCTTTGGTTAGACCACACCTGGAATATTGTGTCCAATTCTGGGCACCACAATTCAAGAGAGATATTGACAAGCTGGAATGTGTCCAGAGGAGGGGGTTGGACTGGATGGCCCATGAGGTTGAGAGGAGACATGATGAGAGCCATGTGTAAATATGTGAGAAGAAGTCATAGGGAGGAGAGAGCAGATCAAGGATCTGGAGAACAAGCCCTATGAGGAGCGGCTTAAGGAGCTGGCATGTTTAGCCTGAAGAAGAGAAGGCTGAGAGGAGATATGATAGCCATGTATAAATATGTGAGAGGAAGCCACAGGGAGGAGGGAGCAAGCTTGTTTTCTGCTTCCTTGGAGACTAGGACGCGGAACAATGGCTTCAAACTACAAGAGAGGAGATTCCATCTGAACACGAGAAAGAACTTCCTGACTGTGAGAGCCGTTCAGCAGTGGAATTATAGTAATGTTACTGATATATGATAATGATAATAATGCGGGGAACACAGCAACCTCCTTTGTGGCAGCCCCCTCCCCCCAGGGCCTCTTCTTTCCCATGCTCACCAATGCACTCGCCGCGCACATCCTGCTTGTAGCCCATGTTGCACTCGCAGCGGTAACTGGATGGGGTGGGGATGCAGCGCCCGTTGAGGCAGAGGTTGGTGAAGTGCTTGCAGATGTCAATGGTCTGGTTCAAGGTGGCCGTGCCTGCAACCAGGGGGGTGGTAAGGGGAGAAGAACCCAGAAAGGCCAGACCCAAAACATCAACATCATAAATGTGAGCCCCAGAAGGAGAGACCCACCCAAAGGAAAGAACCTAACATGAGACATGAGAGGTGAGGCATGAAAGGCGAGACCCTTTGCTCACCGATGCTGGAGCTTCCAGGCCCAAGCCCGGGCAGCCCAGGAAGGCCACCTTGCCCATTGGCGCCATTGGGTCCAAATCCCGCCGGGAAGGCACTGGACACTCCGGGCCCTGCTCCGTTGGGCCCAAAGCCAGGAAGGAGACCCGGGAAAGAGGAGATGGGGAAGCCGGGGGCCGCGGGGAGAACCTCCACACACAGCCGGCGGAACTCATCTAAGCGAGGGAAGGACAGAGAGAGACACACATAATAATATACAATGTAATAATAATAAAAATAATAAGGCACTTGAAAAGCCTTAATTTGGACAGAACATCACTCCACATGCTGCAGAAAGCAACACCTCTCAAAAATACCTTGAGAAGAACCCGATATTCAGAAGGAAGGAAAGAAAGGAAGTAAAAAAGGAACCCCAGACCTAATTTGCATGTATGCTTTGATGTTATGTACGGTACATGTACATATAGTAATAATAATATATAATGTAATCACAATATATAATACTAAAATATAATAATAATAATAAATATAAGAAAAATAATATGTAATCTAATAATGTAATACATAAGAATATGTAATATATAATTATAATATATGCTATATTTATATATATTTGACTTGTATACCACCACCCCCAATTTGGCTCGGAGCGCTTTACAGCAGTAGATTAAAACAATACAACCAACTTTAAAATACAATAAAAACGCGAAACAGACATAGTCCTGAGTTATTCACCCATCGAAAGCTTGTCGGAAAAGAAAGGTCTTACAGGCTTTCCGAAAAGCAAGTAGCTCTTGGATGGTTCGGGTTTCAACTGGCAAGGCCTTCCATAAATAAGGGGCCACAATCGAGAAGGCCCTCTGCCTAGTAGCGGACAGATGATAAGTCCGGATGTTGGGGACTTCAAGCAAATTTTGGTCTTCTGGGGTTGGTAGGGGGATAAGCGGGCCCTCAGGTATGCCAGCCCCAGACCATATAAGGTCTTAAAGGTTAGTACCAGCACCTTGAAAGTGATCCGATACTCAATCGGAAGCCAGTGAAGCTGTTATAGAATTGGGGTGATACGACACCTCACTGGCACCCCGGCGAGAAGACGAGCCGCTGCATTTTGCACCAGCTTCGGTTTCCGGATCACTGACAAAGGAAGGCCAATGTAGAGGGCGTTACAGTAGTCAAGCCTCGAGATGACCGTCGCCTGGATCACCGTAGCCAGGTCGTTCCTAGATAGGAAGGGAGCCAGTCGCCTAGCCTGACGTAGGTGGAAAAACGCAGATCTGCTCACAGCAGAGACCTGGGCCTCCATTGTGAGCAGAGGGTCCAATAAGACACCAAGGCTTTTTACAGAAGGTGACGGACGTAGTGTCTCGCCATCCAGGGTAGGCAGCTGGATCTCCCTCCCACCCGGACGGCCCAGCCAAAGGATCTCCGTCTTCGCTGGATTCACCCTCAACCTGCTGGCACGCAACCATCCAGTAACGGCCTCAAGGCACTGATGGAAATTTTCGGGTACAGAGTCCGGCCGGCCCTCCATCCTCAGAATGAGCTGAGTGTCATCAGCGTACTGGTGGCACTCAAGCCCAAAGCTCCGCACCAGTCGGGCAAGCGGTCGCATATAGATGTTAAATAATAGAGGAGAGAGAATAGCTCCCTGCGGGACCCCGCAAGTTAGCGGAGATCTCTCGGAAACCATCCCTCCCCTCACCACAAGCTGTCCCCGATTCTGGAGGAAGGAGGACTCACATTTAAGGGGTATCCCCCTAACCCCAGTCATGGCTAGGCGGTAGGTCCATATATAAAGATGGGAAGATGGTGATATGGAAGATGTTGCAACTGCTGGGCTCCTCAGCACCCTCGGAATGACTAACTTTGCAGCTGCAAAGGGGTTGCTGAACGGAGGGCAAGCTCCACCTTTGGAAGGGGTTTCTTAAGGGGACAGGGTCTAATTAAGGATCCCTCCCTGCTTCTCACCTGAACCCCGGACGGGGCACATCTCAGGTGCCTGGCCCACGGCCCAGCAGCGGCCAGAGTCGCAGCAACATTGCACCTTGGTGTAATGCCCGGGCAGCTCTCCGGCACAGCGACCCCCAATCAGCGCGGAGAAGCAGGTCCCCATCCGCTGGTCTGCAATGAAGGAAGGAAGAAACAGAGAGAGGAGGTTAAGCGGGACCTTGCAAGGACCAGAATGCGGTAGGGAGTCTTCTCCAGAAACTGCTGTAACCATGTGACTCATAGCAATATAACAAATATACTCAGTTCTTGTGGGTTTTTTTGGGCTATATGGCCATGTTCTAGAGGCATTTCTCCTGACGTTTCGCCTGCATCTATGGCAAGCATCCTCAGAGGTGAGGTCCTCACCTCTGAGGATGCTTGCCATAGATGCAGGCGAAACGTCAGGAGAAATGCCTCTAGAACATGGCCATATAGCCCGAAAAAACCCACAAGAACTGAGCGATTCCAGCCATGAAAGCCTTCGACAAAATATAATATAAATAATTAATATAATATCATATAAGAATAGTAGAATACTAGAATACTAGAATAGAATAACATTATAACAACAATATAACAATATAACAATATAATTGAGTAATATAACAATATTATAATAATATAAGAATAACATAACAATAACATAATATAATAGAAACAATATAATAATATAACGAATCTATATAAATAAAAATGTAATGTTAGTTCGTGCTACCATCAGAACTCAAAAACCACTGGGGGAATTGACACCAAATTTGGACACAAGACACCTAACAGTCCAATTTATGTCCTCCACTCAAAAAAAATTGATTTTGTCATTTGGGAATTGTCGTTGCTGGGATTTATAGTTTACCTACAATCAAAGAGCATTCTGAACTCCACCAATGATGGAATTGGGCCAAACTTAGCACACAGGGCTCCCATGACCAACAGAACACACTGGAAGGGTTTGGTGGACATTGACCTTGAGTTTGGGAATTATAGTTCACCCACATCCAGACATTGTGGGTGAACAATCAGGGGACAACCAGGCCCGTAGCCAGGATTTCGTTTCGGGGGGGGGGGGGCTGAATTTTTTTCAGGGGGGGTTTCAGGGGGGGCTGAGTTTCGGGGGGGGGGGCTGAGTCTGAGTGAAAGAGGGTCTAGCCTAGCAAACCTTTTGTATCGTTACCCCAATACCCCCATGCATATGGGATATATTGAGTATGGTGATCAGATCATGATATGAATAAACATAACAGTTTAAATAATGCACCAGTAAGGCCTTTTCGCGAACCACCATGAGAATTTCGGGGGGAGGGGGGCTGAAGCCCCCCCACCCCCCCCCCCCCCCCCCGAACCAATCTCGGCACACAGAACTCCCATGACCAATGATAGATCTGGACCAAACTTGGCACGAATACTCAATATGCCCAAATGTAAACACTGGTGGAGTTCGGGGCAAATAGACCTTGACATTGGTGAGTTGTCATTGCAGGGATTTGTAGTTCACCTACAATCAAAGAGCATTCTGAACCACACCAATGATGGAATTGAACCAAACTTGGCACAAGACTTCCGTGACCAACAGAACACACTGGAAGGGTTTGGTGGGCATTGACCTTGAGTTTGGGAGTTGTAGTTCACCTACATCCAGAGAGCACTGTGGACTCAAACAATGATGGATCTGGACCAAACTTGACACAAAAATTCCATATGCCTAAATATGAACACAGATGGAGTTTGGAGGAAATAGACCTTGACATTTGGGATTTGTAGTTACTGGGATTTATAGTTCACTACAATTAAAGAGTCATAAATATAGATAGAAAGATATGATTCTCTCTCACACACACAGATATAGTATCATAGATTTGAAAGAGACCCCTAAAGAAGGACAATGACATGTTGCATATTCCAGAGTAGGCAAACCAGACACTCTCCACATCAACACTGACAAAGAAACAGCAAGAAATACTGTTTACTCACAAGCATAAAGAAATTGCATATATTAGAAACCAATACTTTCTCGTTACTTTATTTTCCAGATCAACAGACTGGGCCACAGCAACGCGTGGCAGGGGACAGCTAGCATAATATAAGAATAGTATAATAATAGAATACTATAATAGAATAACATTATAACAACAATATAATAATATAACAATATTATAATAATAATAGAATAACATAATAATATAATATAATAATATAACAGAGGTCACGAAGAGTCGGAGACGACTGAACGAATGAACAACAACAATATAATAATATAACAGTAATAGAATACAACAATGTAAATATGATATAATAGCATAATAATTATAATAAAACCTAACAATATAATAACATAATATAGCAATATGAATGAGTAATAATATAATAACTAATGTAATTTAACAATATTATAACATAATATATTATTTTAATATATAATAATATATATTATAACATGTTACACAGTTGCAGCCTATTATTAGGAGCGTGGTGGAGGCTCCTTCTTTGGAAGCTTTTAAACAGAGGCTGGATGGCCATCTGTCAGGGGTGATTTGAATGCAATATTCCTGCTTCTTGGCAGGGGGTTGGACTGGATGGCCCATGAGGTCTCTTCCAACTCTTTGATTCTATGATTCTATTATTATTATTATTAGGTCTCCCAATGGCACATAGGGACACAACAAGTGTGCAAGAAGCACACAATTGCAGCCTTATGTTATTGTTGTTATTATTATTATTATTATTATTGGGTCTCCTTGCAAGTCAAAAGAAAGAGAAACTCCTGAAAGAGACAGATCCTGAGCCAAACTCTTTGTCAAATGCCGCTGTCCCTCCCTCTTTGCAGACCAGCCTTTCCCAAGGAGAAAAAGAACCCAATGTAAATCCATAATAATAATCATCATAATAATAATACTCCTTCTCAGGCACAGAGACAAGACCTGGGGGGCCAGAGATGCAGAGCCTGCAATGCCTGGGAAAGTAATTGCTGCTAATTGGGCCCTTTTGGCATGGCCTGCTTCCCCTCCTGGGAGACCCCCACTTTTGATCCTCCAACTTCCCTTGTTTAGGAGGCTGCAATTAAAGGCAATTAAAGGATGAGGTCTCTCTTTGCCGGGAAAGGGAGGGAAGGGGCATCAAAAGGGTAAAGGGGGGGTTGATCCTGTGCAAGAGGGGAAGGAAAGGGAGGGAGGGAAAGGAAAGCAGGAAGGAAAGAAATAAAAGGAAGGAAAAGAAAGGAAGAAGGAAGGAAGGAAGGAAGGAAGGAAGGAAGGAAGGAAGGAAGGAAGGACGGAAGGGAAGAAGAAAGAAAAAGGAAAGGAAAGAAGGAAGGAAGGAGAAAAGAGAAGAAAAGAGGGAAGGAAGGAAGGAAGAGAAAGGAAAGGAAGGAGGGAGGAAAGGAAAGAAGGAAGGAAAGAAATAAAAAAGGGAAGGAAGGGAAGAAAGGAAGGAAGGAAAAAAAGAAGGAAAAAGGAAGAAGAAGGAAAGAAGAAAAAAGGAAGAAGGAAGAAAGAAGGAAAAGAAAAGGGGGGAGGAAAGAAAGAAATAGAGAAAGAAGGAAGGAGTGAAAGAAAGAAAAAAGGAAAGGAAGGAAAGAGAGAGTGAAGGAAGGAGGGAAAGGAGGAGAGAAAACGGGAGAGAAGGAAAGAAAGAAGGAAGGAAGGATGAAAGGAAAAAGCGAAGGAAAGAAGGGGAGAAGGAAAGAAGGAAAGGAAAAGAAGGAAGGAAGGAAGGAAGGAAGGAAGGAAGGAAGGAAGGAAGGAAGGAAGGAAGGAAGGGAGGGAGGGAGGGAGGGAAGGGAATCATAGAATCCTAGAGTTGGAAGAGACCTCATGGGCCATCCAGTCCAACCCCCTGCCAAGAAGCAGGAATATTGCATTCAAATCACCCCTAACAGATGGCCATCCAGCCTCTGTTTAAAAGCTTCCAAAGAAGGAGCCTCCACCACACTCCGGGGCAGAGAGTTCCACTGCTGAACGGCTCTCACAGTCAGAAAGTTCTTCCTCATGTTCTGATGGAAACTCCTTTCTTGTAGTTTGAAGCCATTGTTCCGTGTCCTAGTCTCCAAGGAAGCAGAAAACAAGCTTGCTCCCTCCTCCCTGTTCAGCAGTGGAACTCTCTTTCAAATCTATGATACTATATCTGTGTGTGAGAGAGAGAATCATATCTATCTATCTATATTTATGACTGGATGGCTCTTTGTCAGGAGGGCACTGATTACATTTTCTTGTCCTGGTGAAGAGAGTTGGACTGGATTGCCTTAAGTATTTTCTGTTATTTATTTATTTATTTTATTTACTTTATTTGTATACCGCTGTTCTCAGCCCTTAGGCGACTCACAGCCGTTAACAAGAATAGCAGCAAAAAATCAATGTTAACAACCACAGGATATTTAAAAACAATTAACACAATAACAGATCAAGCAATTAACACAATAACCATTCACTGGCGTCTCATAACTGAAAACATGATCCAAACCCGTCATCCATTGTTCCGTTCCTATATTCTGTTGGTCATGGGGGTTCTGTGTGGGAAGTTTGCCCCATTTCTGTCGTTTGTGGGTTTCAGAATGCTCTTTAATTGTAGTGAACTATAAATCCCAGTAAGTACAAATCCCAAATGTCTGGATGTGGGTGAACTATAATTCCCAAACTCAAGGTCAATGTCCACCAAACCCTTCCAGTGTGTTCTGTTGGTCATGGAAGTCCTGTATGCCATGTTTGGCCCAATTCTATCGTTGTTGGGGTTCAGAATGCTCTGTGATTGTAGGTGAACTATAAATCCCAGCAACTACAACTCCCAAATGTCAAGGTCTATTTCCCTTAAACTCCATCTGTGTTCATATTTGGGCATATGGAATATTCGTGCCAAGTTTGGTCCAGATTCATCATTGTTTGAGTCCACAGTGCTCTCTGGATGTGGGTGAACTATAATTCCCACACTCAGGGTCAATGCCCACCAAACCTTTCCAGTTTCTTCTGTTGGTCATGGGAGCCCTGTGTGCTAAGTTTGGCCCAATTCCATCATTGGTGGAGTTCAGAATGCTCTTTGATTGTAGGTAAACTATAAATCCCAGCAACGACAATTCCCAAATGACAAAATCAATTTTTTGAGTGGAGGACATAAATTGGACTGTTAGGTGTCTTGTGTCTAAATTTGGTGTCAATTCCCCCAGTGGTTTTTGAGTTCTGATGGTAGCACGAACTAACATTACATTTCTATTTATATAGATTATTATTATTATTATTATTATTATTATTATTATTATTATTGTTATTATATCCCACTTTCCTTTCTTAAACAAGAGCTAGTGACAGCATAAGACTCCTGCAAAATATCGGACTTGGAGGTGAGGAAACTTGGGCAAGGTTCTTGTGGGTTTTTTCGGGCTATAGGGCCATGTTCTAGGGGCATTTCTCCTGACGTTTCACCTGCATCTATGGCAAGCATCCTCAGAGGTAGTGAGGTCTGTTGGAATTAGGACAATGCGTTTATATATCTGTGGAATGGCTGGGATGGGGCAAAGAGCTCTTCCCTGCTAGAGCTAGGTGTGAATGTTTCAACTGACCACCTTCATTAGCATTTGAAGGCCTGGCTGAGCCTGGGAAAATCTTTTGTTGAGAGGTGTTAAGATGTTAAAACTTGGGCAAGGTGTGATCTTTCTTTCTGGAGTATTGGGAAACCCTAGGGCTGACATGGCTCCATGGGAGGGGGAATGGGACACAGTGGGGCACTAATTGGAGATTGACTCACCGAGGCAGCGGGATCCATCTGGGCCGGTCATGAAGCCTCGAGGGCAAGCGCAGACGTAGCTGCCGACCGTGTTGGTGCACTCCCCACCGTCACAGGCCCCACCGCCACCGGCTGACATGCTTGCGCACTCGTCCACGTCTGGGTAGCGGACCATTATCATCATATAAAAATATTACAATATTATAAGAATATAATATGAGGATATAATAACAGAACAGAATAATATAAAGATATAATACAATAAAATAAGGATAATATCATAGAACAGTATAAAGACGTAATAATATAATGTAATATATAATAATAATGGGTTGTTGTAGGTTTTTCCGGGCTATATGGCCATGTTCTGGAGGCAATTTTTCTCCTGACGTTTCGCCTGCATCTATGGCAAGCATCCTCAGAGGTAGTGAGGTCTGTTGGAAGTAGGAAAAATGGGTTTATATATCTGTGGAATGACCAGGGTGAGACAAAGGACTTTTTTCTGCTGGGGCTAGCTGTGAATGTTTCAGCTGATCACCTTGATTAGCATTCAATGGCTTGGAAGGGCCTGGGGGGAATCTTTTGTTGAGAGTGATTTTATGTGCCTGTTTGTTTCCACTCTGTTGTTTTGCTGATGTAATTTTTGAATTTGTTGTAATTTTTGTTGTAATTTTGAATAATTTTTGAAAATAATTCAAATTACTCTCAACAAAAGATTCCCCCCAGGCCCTTCCAAGCCATTGAATGCTAATTAAGGTGATCAGCTGAAACATTCACAGCTAGCCCCAGCAGAAAAAAGTCCTTTGTCTCACCCTGGTCATTCCACAGATATATAAACCCATTTTTCCTACTTCCAACAGACCTCACTACCTCTGAGGATGCTTGCCATAGATGCAGGCGAAACGTCAGGAGAAAAATTGCCTCCAGAACATGGCCATATAGCCCGGAAAAACCTACAACAACCCAGTGATTCCGGCCATGAAAGCCTTCGACAATATAATAATAATATATGGATATAATAATAAAACATAATTCAATTTAATATTATATAATAATATATGGATATAATGATATAACAATAAGATAAGGATATTACATAATATAAGAATAAACTATGATATAATTTAATAATATAATACAGTATAATAATATGAGGATAATATAGAATAATATAAAGATATAATAATGTAATATAATATAATAATACAAAGATATGATAATATAATAATATTATTGCAGAATCTGTCTATTCAAGTGCAGCTGGAAGGAAGAGACAGAGAGAGCAGATATCAATTTCCAGTTCTTTACTATTTTGCAAAATAGAGTGACAACTCACAGCTCAGGCTGTTTTAAGGAACTATCACCCTATTTGGCAAAATAGTAAAGAACTGGAAATAAATATTGTAAGCCGCATCGAGTCCTGCGGGAGATGCTAGCGGGGTACAAATAAAGTTAATAATAATAATAATAATAATAATAATAATAATAAATATCTGCTCTTTGTCTCTTCCTTCCGGCTGTGCTGAAACAGACAGGCAGATTATTCTGCAACAAAATAATATAAAGATATAATAATATAATACAATAATTAATAATATAATTCAATTTAATAAGAAAATATAATATAATAATACAAATATATAATAATATAATATGTCGATACTAATACTAAGATATATTTTCACCCAAGAAAAGCGATATAAAAGTGAAGTAAATGAATAAATACATAATATTCTATAATATAATACAGTTATAATAATATATATTTAATATAATATAATAGCATAAGGATACGATAATAAAATATAATATAATTTAACATAATATACGAAAAATACAACTGCAATAATAATATAAATAATAGTAAAAACAACAATAATAATATAATAGAAATTATTATAGAAAAATCTAATAATTATATAATAATAATAATGTACAAGGAGATTAATATAACATAACATGATAATATAAAAGTAATAGCTAATATAGTAATAGTAATGGAAGGAGTGCCTTTCCGGGCCTGACCTTCGCACTTGTGGCTGGCCTCGCTCTGCCGGTGCCCGGCGGGGCATTTGCACTCGTAGGAGCCAACGGTGTTGAGGCAGCTGCCGCCCTGGCACAAACCTGGCACCGCCTGGCACTCATCCACATCTGGGAAAACAACAACATTGGCTCTAAGGTTCTTTTCTTTCTTTTTTTTCTTTTTTTGACGTGTCAGGAGCGACTTGAGAAACTGCAAGTCGCTTCTGTTGTGAGAGAATTGGCCATCTGCAAGGACGTTGCCCAGGGGACGCCTGGATGATTTGATGTTTTTATCATCCTTGTGGGAGGCTTCTCTCATGTCCCCGTATGAGGAGCTGGAGCTGATAGAGGGAGCTCATTCGCCTCTCCCCGGATTCAAACTGTAACCTGTCGGTCTTCAGTCCTGCCAGCACAGGGGTTTAACCCACTGCGCCACCGGGGGCTCCCGGCTCTAAGCTGCAACAGGCCCATTTGATCAAAGGCCTAGAGACTTCTTCCATGGGAGCTTTGGAACAGAGGCTGGAGGGCCATGTGTTGGAAGGGATTGGATAGAGCCTCCCTTTATGGCAGAAAGAAGGAGGTTGGATTGGATGGCCTTGGGGTCCCTCCCAACTCCAGGATTCTCTGATATAATCAAGAAATCTCTCTATCTCTATCCATCTCTATTTTAAGGGGTTGGACTGGATGGCCTTTAGGGATCCCTTCCAACACTAGAAAACTATTTATTTATTTAACTCTTAAGAGGTTGGACTGGGTGGCCTTTAGGGATCTCTTCCAAAACTAGGATTCTATCTATCTATCTATCTATCTATCTATCTATCTATCTATCTATCTATCTATCTATCTATCTATCTAACTATGTCTTAAGAGATTGGACTAGACGGCCTTTAGGGATCCCATCCAACACCAGAAATCTATCTCTTCATCTCTACAGTATCAGCTTATGATACTGTAAATCATTGCCTTCTCCTGAGAAAAACTTATAATATCTCAAAGGACCACCACCTCACCTGCTTCATAGGAAATCTGTTACAAAACAGGAGCTTTTTTGTTGAATTCCAGGGCCAGAGAAGTAGATGATGAAAACGGAAGGGGAGCATGCTCCTCAGGGGAACATACTTGCTTCATCAATGTTCAACATTTACACAAATGACCAGCCACTGCCAGAAGGGACAGAGAGTTTCATCTATGCTGACGATTATACCATCACCGCCCAAGCAGGGAGCGTTGAGATGGTGGAACAGAAGTTCTTCGAAAATTTAGGTGCTCTTACTGCTCATTAGAGGGAAAACCAGATGACACCTAATCCATCTAAAACATAGATGTGTGCTTTTCACCTTCATAATAGGCAAGCATCTTGAGCTCTGAGGATGACCTGGGAAGGAATCCCACTGGAGCATTGCAGCACACCCAGATACCTGGGAGTTACTCTGAACTGTGCTCTGACTTACAAGAAGCAATGCTTGAATAGCAAGCAAAAAGTGGGAAATAATATTGTACGAAAGCTGACTGGCACAACCTGGGGATCACAACCAGACACAGTGAAGGCATCAGTCCTTGCACTTGGCTACTCTGCTGCTGAATTTGCATGCTCAATGTGGAATACATTAAAACAGTGGATGTGGCTCTTAATGACAGGATGTCTATGCCCCACACCACTGGAGAAATTGTACTGTTGAGCCAGTATTGCACCACCATTGATATCCATCAGGAAGCAGCAGCCAATAATGAAAGGACCAAGGCAGTGACATCTCCAACCCATCCTCTGTTCGGACATCAGCCAGCACACCAATGCCTTAAATCAAGAAATAGCTTCCTGTGATCTACAGAGACACTCGCAGGAACAACTCAGCAAGCGAGAGTCGAAAAGTGACAGGCATTTCCTGGTGCTTCCTGGCTCCGTGCACTGTCCCCCCTCAAGGGGAGGAGAGCGATACCTGGGCGAGGGTACCTTGGCAGGCTCCGGTGCGTATGTTGGGGATGAACCCTCTGCGGCAGGGGTGGGGCTGTGGGGGGCACATCTCGCAGGGGTGGCCCCAGGCACGGCCCACAGTGGCACAGCACAGCGCCTTGGTGCACACAATGCCACTCAGCTGCCCCTGGCACATCTGCTGCACCACCTGCCCAAAGCAGGGGCCCGTCCGGTAGTCTGGAGGGAGGGAAGAAAGAAGGAAGGAAGGAAGGAAGGAAGAAAAGTCACTGAGAGGCAGGCAAAGAAGGAGGAAGGGAATCTGCCCCAATGGGGCTGGACTGGATGACACTTGGGGGTCCCTTCCAAAAATTGGATAGTATATTTATCTCATATATAAAGGTAAAGGTAGTTCCCTGACATTAAGTTCAGTCATGTCTGACTCTGGGGTGTGGTGCTCATCTCCATTTCTAAGCCGAAGAGCCAGCGTTGTCCGTAGACACCTCCAAGGTCATGTGGCCGGCATGACTGCATGGAGCGCCGTTATATATACATATATATACATATATCATATATACATAGATAGATATAAAAATATACATGGACACAGGCCATCCCTGAGTTACAGATATCTGACTTACAAATTACCAAAGTTAAGAACAGGGCTGGACTGGATGGCCTTTGGGGACCCCTTCCACATCAAGGAGTCTAATACTAATACTAATACTAATAATATTAATCAGAGTCAAATAAGAATCATAAATAATAATAATAATAATAATAATAATAATAATAATAATAATAAATTTCTTCCTTTCTGGCTGAAGAGGGCTGGACTGGATGGTCTTTGGGGCCCCTTCCACATCAAGGAGTCTAAACTAATACTAATACTAATAATATTAATCAGAGTCAAATAAGAATCATAATAAATAATAAGAATAGTAATAATAATAATAAATTCTTCCTTCCTGGCTGAAGAGGGCTGGACTGGATGGTTTTTGGGGCCCCTTCCAAATCTAGGAGTCTAACAACAACAACAACAACAACAACAACAACAACAACAACAACATAGTAATTCTGTCTTCCTTCCTGGCAGAAGAGGGCAGACTGGATGGTCTTTGGGGGTCCCTTCCACATCTATGACACTATGTTTGTCTATCTATCTATACACAAGCCATCCTCGAGTTACAGACATCTGTCTTACAAATGATTCCTAATTAAGAACAGGGCTGGGCTGGATGGCCTTTGGAGGTCCCTTTCGAATCTAGGATACTACGGTTCTATTATTATTATTATAAACTGAAGTTGGATGGCCATCTGTTGGAGGGCTTTGATGGAGCCTTCCCTTCTGATATAATTGGGTTGGTCTTCATTTCTAGGATACTATGGGGTTGTTGTTGTTGTTCTTAAACAGGGGCTACATGACCCTCTGTTGAGAAGGATCAGGTGGTGCTTTCTTTGAAGGCAGAAGGGGGCTGGACTGGATGACCTTTGGGGGTCAATTCTGACTTTAGAGTCCTATGATTCAAAGGGCAAAGGCAGGTGGTCGGGGTCCTTCCTCAACAAAGAAAACTCTCCAAATATTTCAATCGAAAGGGGGGACCCATGTGTCTCTCTCTTGTTTTCTTTTCCAGTGATGAGAAACAGATTGGGATCTGTATCTCATTACAGAAGTGCCTTCTCATGCGCCATTGTTAGCTCGTCCAAGAAGGGGACCCTGTAGGGGCGTCTCTTCCAACTCTAGGACTCTACCATTTTATTTATTTATTTGTTTGTTTATTTATTTATGAAGTAGCAGATGGATGGCCATCTGTCAAGAGGGATTGAATAGTGTCTTCCTCTATGACAGAAGGGGGCTGGACTGGGTGGTCTTTAGTTCTAAATCTAGGATTCTATGGTTCTATTATTATTATTATTATTATTATTATTATTATTATTATTATTATTATTTTACTGACACAAAAGCACAATATGTCACAGCAAATGAGATCTATATGCTGGATTTCGTGTCAAAAAATCACAAGTCAAACACTTCCCAAGCGTCTAGGACTGTGTGATGTATTTTCGAATGATGCGCGCAGATCTAAGTAAGGTAGCCTTTATTATTATTATTTTACCGACACGAAAGCACAGTATGTCACAGCAAACGAGATCTATATGCTGGATTTCGTATCAAAAAATCACAAGTTGAACACTTCCCAAGCGTCTAGGACTGTGTGATTATGATTATTGTTATTATTATTATTTAGAGACTTGATGGCCTTTAGAGGTTGCTTCTAACTTTAGGATTCTATGGTTCTGTTGTTTATTATTTATTTATTTATTTCGAGGTTTTATATACCGACCCTCTCACCTTCAAAGAGGGATTCGGACCGGTTCACAACATGTGTTAACATACAAAGAATACACAATAACAACACAATGCCACTTCATAACATGATTAAAATATCAGCACTATACACATTAAAACATTATCATCACAGTTAAAAGAGCCAAATTGTCCGACACCATCACAATCCCATTCATCATCCTCCTTTCATGTGGGCAAAGAATTAAATCAGTTGTCAAATGCCGCGTTCCACAACCAGGTCTTTGTTAGTTTCCTGAACGTCATGAGGGAGGGGGCAGTTCTGATCTCTAATGGCAGGGAGTTCCAAAGTCGAGGGGCCACCATCGAGAAGGCCCTGTCCCTCGTCCCCACCAGCCGTGCTTGTGCAGGCGGTGGGACCGAGAGCAGGGCCCCTCCAGACGATCTTAGTGGTCTTGATGGTTCGTAGGGGAGAATACGTTCGGAGAGGTAAACAGGGCCGGAGTCGTTTAGGGCTTTATAGGTTAACACCAGCACTTTGAATTGTGCTCGGAAGCTAATCGGCAGCCAGTGGAGTTCGAGTAACAGTGGAGTGGTGTGCTCCCTGTACCCAGCACCCGTTAGTAATCTGGCTGCCGCGCGTTGTACTTGCTGCAGCTTCCGGGCAGTCTTCAGAGGCAACCCCACGTAGAGAGCGTTGCAGTAATCTAAGCGGGATGTAACCAAAGCATGGACTACCGTGGCCAAGTCAGACTTCCCAAGGTACGGACGCAGCTGGCGCACAAGTTTTAATTGTGCGAATGCTCCCCCGACCACCGCTGAAACCTGGGGTTCCAGCCTCAGCGATGAATCCAGGAGAACTCCCAGACTGCGTACCTGTGTTTTTAGGGGGAGTGTGACCCCGTCCAGCACAGGTTGTAACCCCGTACCCTGTTCGGTCTTACGACTGACCAGGAGTACCTCTGTCTTGTCTGGATTTAGTTTCAATCTGTTGTCCCTCATCCAGTCCGTTACAGCGGCCAAGCACCGGTTCAGGACTTGAACAGCCTCCTTAGTAGCAGGTGGGAAGGAGTAACAGAGTTGGACATCATCTGCGTACAGATGACACCGCACCCCAAAACTCCGGATGATCTCTCCCAACGGCTTCATGTATATGTTAAACAGCATAGGGGACAAAACGGAACCCTGAGGGACTCCACAGTACAATGTCCGCAGAGTCGAGCAGGTGCCCCCTAAAGACACCTTCAGAGATCGACCCTCGAGGAACGACTGGAGCCACTGCAATGAAGTACCCCCAAGGCCCATTCCCATTCTCAGAAGGATACTGTGGTCGACAGTATCGAAGGCCGAAGAGAGGTCCAGCAGAACCAGCAGTTGTTATTAAGTAGAGGCTTGGATGGCCATCTGTTGGGAGAGATCAGACTGTGTCCTTCCTAGCGGAAGGGGGCTGGATTGGATGGCTTTTGGGGGTCCCTTCCAACTCTAGGATTTTTTGGTTCTATTATCATTAGTAGTAGTAGTATGAAGAAGAAACCGTATTGGCTGGCTGGCTGTCCTCAGTCATGATGGAGTTTCCTCCCTGCTCCCAATAGACGCGTATGTTTTCACAGGAGCTTTGATGGAAGGCATTTCCGTGTCATGATGTATTTGAATATATATAATATATATATATAGATGTGTGTGTGTGTGTAATGTTCGTTTGTGGGATTAACATAACTCAAAAACCACTGGGCAAATTGACACCAGATTTGGACACAATACATCTATCAGGCCAACGAGTTTTTCAGTGTTTTTATGTCACTCGTTGGCCTGATAGATGTATTGTGTCCAAATCTGGTGTCAATTCGCCCAGTGGTTTTTGAGTTATGTGAATCCCACAAACGAACATTACACACATAAAAACACTGAAAAACACAGTGGAAGAGACTTCAAAAGCCAAAAAACAAAAATTACATTTCAATGCTTGTGCAAAACCACATATATATATAATATATGCAATACACACACATATACACACACAAAACAGATATACACAGACTGGGCCACAGCAAAGGGTGGCAGGGGACGGCTAGTATGTATGTATGTGTGTGTGTGTGTGTATCCGATCTGAAATGGTTTTAACTCACACACACATGTAAATATATACCTGTATAAGAAAAAGGAAGAGAAGGAAAAGGAAGAAGAATGAGGAAGAAGAATATAATAATAATAATAATAATAAACATCCTAGTTCCAACAGACCTCACTACCTCTGAGGATGCTTGCCATAGATGCAGGCGAAACGTCAGGAGAGAATGCCTCTAGACAATGGCCATATAGCCCGAAAAACCTACAACAACCCAGTGATTCCGGCCATGAAAGCCTTCGACAATACATAAACAACCTTTATTTGTATACCTCTCTATCTCCCCGAGGGGACTGAGGGTGATTTCCACATAAGCAAAGCAACACAGAACACACAGACCAGCTATTATTATTATTATTATTATTATTATTATTATTATTATTATTTAAAACTTTTATATCCCGATCTTCTCTACCTCCGTAGAGGGACTCAGACCAGCTGACAGCAAGAATTCAATGCTAACAGTAAAAATCTAAAACATCATATATCAACAGTAAAATAACAAATACAAATAAAATAAATACATAAAAGCCGTTCGCCAAGAAAAAAACATGTCCAACTCAGTCCGTATATTCAGTCCATGTATTGTGGTCAATAACTTTGGTCAGTTACCGGTCTCACCCGTCATTCTGCAAAGGCCTCATTCCACTGCCAGGTTTTCACTAATTTCCTAAAGGTCAGGAAGGAGGGGGCAGATCTAATTTCATTTGGGAGGGAATTCCATAGCCAAGGGGCCACCACAGAAAAGGTCCTGTCTCTTGTCCCCACCAGGCGCGACTGAGAAGGTGGCGGGACCGAGAGCAGGGC